CATTTAAACCTCAGCCCCAGCACGAATATCAGCACTATGTCAATACAGTTCCTCAGAGGACACCGTTTAAATGTTTACCAACACATTTGGAACTTCAGATCTACTGATTAACTAAAGGAGGAATGTCGTTAACATTGGGGTAAAGAAATCCTCAGAATCTACAGGATATATATAGCATGGCTTAAAGCTTCCTGGTTCTGAAGATGTCAAACTTTAGATCTACTGATTAACTGAGGTATTAGATGGGTAAAGAAATCGTCAGAATCTACAGGATATATATAACATGGCTTAAAGCTTCCTGGTTCTGAAGATGTCGAACTTTAGATCTACTGATTAACTGAGGTATTAGATGGGTAAAGAAATCCTCAGAATCTACAGGATATATATAACATGGCTTAAAGCTTCCTGGTTCTGAAGATGTCGAACTTTAGATCTACTGATTAACTGAGGTATTAGATGGGTAAAGAAATCCTCAGAATCTACAGGATGTATATAACATGGCTTAAAGCTTCCTGGTTCTGAAGATGTCGAACTTTAGATCTACTGATTAACTGAGGTATTAGATGGGTAAAGAAATCCTCAGAATCTACAGGATGTATATAACATGGCTTAAAGCTTCCTGGTTCTGAAGATGTCGAACTTTAGATCTACTGATTAACTAAAGGAGGAATGTCGTTAACAATGGGGTAAAGAAACTCCTCAGAATCTACAGGATATATATAGCATGGCTTAAAGCTTCATGGTTCTGAAGATGTCAAACTTCAGATCTACTGATAACTAAAGGAGGAATGTCGTTTACTTTGGGGTGAAGAAACTCCTCAGAATCAACAGGATGTATATAACATGGCTTAAAGCTTCCTGGTTCTGAAGATGTCAAACTTCAGATCTAATGATTAACTAAAGGAGGAATGTCGTTTACTTTGGGGTGAAGAAACTCCTCAGAATCAACAGGATGTATATAACATGGCTTAAAGCTTCCTGGTTCTGAAGATGATGAACTTCAGATCTACTGATTAACTAAAGGAGGAATGTCGTTTACTTTGGGGTGAATAAACTCCTCAGAATCAACAGGATGTATATAACATGGCTTAAAGCTTCCTGGTTCTGAAGATGTCTAAGTTTTCAGCCAAGATTGAGCTTCTCTGACTTTGTAAAATAATTTAAACAAAAGCTAAGCCCTCTGTCAAAATAAGTTGACCATATATCATGATACGACTTGTCGTTCTGATTTTTTATAGAAATTGTTGGTGACAAGCCAACAATGGATGGACAAAAAGTCACTCATTTACAACTATTTCACCTGAGTGATCGACACTGATCGTAATTGAAGATATTTATTTGGAACAAAGGGTTCAACTCTCTAGATAACCAAAATGTCACAGACTTGATCCCACTAACGTATATCATGACTTTTAACATCATGGTTCTGAAGAAGTCGTTTTCCAATAAATTGACAGAAACTGCCATCATACATGTAAAAGCCCAAATGCACTACTCATACCTAATGAGCCAACAAAACCTAGTTGTAATTCAACAATAGATTATATTCTTCCTCTTATTTTTCCATGGGAGTCTCAGAAAGTCTGTGCAATAGATTATACAAGTCACATTATCACCTAGTTGTGTGCGATGTTTAGCTCATCTAGGCCGAAGGGCTACCAAGTTTGGTCAAATGAATGACTTTCACTCATAGTCAAGGTCACAGGGGTCAATTATGTAAACAAGAGGCCCAGAGAGCCTGTATCGCTCACCTGGAATATGAAGCAACCAGGGCAAAATAATTCTTATTACATAAAATACCTCAAATGGTTCAGAAGAAGGATTTTAAATAAATAAACCTCAAATTCCCCTATTGAACCCTGCAACTATGCACTCAGAGGGGCCAAACCCTCCGTTAATACATCCCAAGGATGCTCCAGGCCAAATTTGGATAAAATCCCTCAAATGGTACAGAAGAAGTATTTTAAAGATTGAAACTTCAAATTCCCCTATTGCGCCCGCCCCTCTGCACCCAAAAAGGCCACAACCACCGTTTATACAAAATTGAGTCCCCTTGGCCCAAGGCTGTTTCAGACCAAAAAAAGAATAAAATCTGTTATCCCTATGGTAGAAGTAGGCATTTCAAGATTTTACCTTATCTCCACTATTGGGCCTCTGTCCCCAGGCACTCACCATTAATACAAAAAACTAATTGGGATAAAATTCCTTCATCCGTTAGGTAGAAGGATTTGAAAGCTTTTACCTGTATTTGGTCCCGCCCCAAGGGGGTTCAAACTAACTGTTTATACAAAATTGAGTTCTCTTGCCCCAAGGATACTCACGACTAAATTTGGATGAAATCCCTATGGTAGAAGGATTTTTAAAGGTTTACCTGGGTCACACCCACAATTTATACAAATTCTAGTCCTCTTGGCCTAATGATGCTCCAGACTTAATTTGGATAAAATCCCTTTATCACTACGGTAGAAGAAGGCATTTCAAGATTTAACCTCTTAACCCCTTTGGGCTGTAGATGTTTTGTCAGTAGCATGCTAGGATGAAGGGCTACCAAGTTTGTTCAAATGAATGATCTTCACTCATATTCAAGGTCACGGGGGACAACTGTCTTGACAAAAACTTTTAACAACTTCTTCTGAATAACCAAAATGGTCCAGGGTGATGATATTTGGTCAGAAACATGTTTTCATGAAGGGCTACCAAGTTTGCTCAAATCGATGACCTTGACCTATATACAATGTCACGGGTCAAATACGATTCAATTCATCAATACCGATATTTACAAGTGCGAGATTAATACCAGGTCAGCTATGAAGGCTCATTGGGCCTCTTGTTCACCATCGAAAGCAATCAATATTTTGATATTCTGTTATGTATCTGCAAATGTTCAGTTCCTGTGCTTCAGTAGGGGAAAAAATAACAAGTACTAGGAAATAAAATATTCATTACACTTTATTCTCAATCGAGAACAGTGAAACAATACTTTGAAGACAGATTTACAGTCTAGGTGATTAATCTAATCTTTGTATATCATCCTCATCAGACATCTCTCACGCTGGATAGTGGACTGCGCCCCTACATATATTGAGGACACTTATCACATGCCAATATATACCTAACATTTTTTTTTTTAATTTTGGTTAACATCATATCATCTGTTCCTCTTGCAACAACATTCATGCAAAAATATTAAAACAGGAAAATGACTCGCATACTTACTTATTTTTATCATAAATAACTTCCATTTATCAACAGTTAAAATTGCTTTTACACAAACCTTGCTTAATTACAATTGTTGTCCATCACTTTTTAACCATGCTTCGGAAAAAGTGACAAAAACAGCAAGGTATAATAACAAAAATGAAAACGGTTTAAAAAAAAAAAGCAAAAAGATTTCTGGGCCTATTTTGAATTGTCTTGACTTTTTAAAAATGCAAGTTTCACATTCTATGTGATGGTAATATTGTCTTGCTTTGGAATGGATTACATGTTTATTTCGGTGAAATAAATCAGCTGTGATGACACAATCGAATGTTACAACAGCACTTCACATTCAGACGATTATGCTTTGCATATTGTTTTGTACAAAAACTTGTATTCTTTACATTTAGACCAAAGTTCTCTTGCGTGACATTTTCTAATGCACCATACATTATCTACCTTGTTATTATGTATGCAGTAGATACACCGGGAAAAAATGATATAAAATATCACATTTTTCTTATTGAATGATGGCAATTCATACTCAAAACAAACAGGTTATCTTTTCAATCATGAAAAAGATTAAAATTGATTTGCTGTGCAGATATATTAACTTCACAGAAAGCTCCGATCGTTTCCAACCAATAAAAAAATATGTTTTTGTTTATCTGACAATATAAAGCTTACACTTGCTTCTGAGATACATGTACAGATTTTCCATGAAATAATTTGATTAAATCAAGGATATCTGCCCGAGAAAAACTCATTCACATAATATACAACTAACATAAAAATTGTATTTGATCGACAATTTCATATATCAGATCAAGCAAAGCCAGAGGGCAATGTTAAATTAAAACAGATTTTGATCTTAATAATTTCAAAAAGTTTATCAAGACAGGTGGGTATTTTCCCACCTTCTTAAGTAGAACATGAAATTTTGTCACTAATTGACCAATAATATCAATTTTTCTTGCACTTTTCCGCACATATCACAGATGTAGCTAAACTATAATGCAATATAATTACCCATGATGTCAACTGAAACATGAATAGCTTTGTTTTTACACAAATCGTTGTCCATTGGAATACATTTCATAGCTGCATCGCTTTGTGCTGCTTTTCCTGTTTCAGTTAAGTTAGCTGTCAAGGACGCGTTTTAAAAGATTTCCATAGAAAATGGATTTTTTTACTGCAACATCTATGACAAAACACCTAAGCATTTTCTAGTCATGATGTATCAAAAGTATTACTAGATTTCTGCATTTTATATCAATTCATGTAAATACATTGTTGTCAAGTTGTTTAACAAGGCACTAAGAAATGACAGAGAAACAATTCTGATGTAAAAGGACGGCTCAAACTATAGTTTATCAATGCAAGTCTTTTAAGTTTAAACAGAAATTTTTCGTAACTCATTCACCCCTGAAATTTCATAATGAACTATTCCAACCATTGAATTGGATGGATTCAAATGTGTCTTCAGGGGTGAATGAGTTGATCACTCAATCTCTATAAAACAAGCCCTTGAAAGCACATCTGGGTAACTGTCTCGCAACTATTTTTCTGAAGTTGTGGATGAGACATTATGCATTATAAAAGGACAAATAATTAACATACTATATATTATTTTTTCTTGTAATAAATATATTGGTCCTAAGACAGGATTGATTAAATAAACATATTAACATAGTCTAACAACAGGAGGGGAAAAAACCTATTATACTTTCAATTTCTTGCAAATGATGAGAAAACTTTTGGCATCTTGTACAACATAAAAATAGGTCATACATTTTGCTATAGGTGTCCCAAACAAGTTGCTAGATGACGAACATAAAGAAAAATAACAGTGACAACTTTTGTACCACCCAAATGTACAGATCGTTCCCACCGATAATGTTAAAACAGATTCTCCAAGTTGTACCAGTGAAAATTAAAATCATCAAATTGACCCCTGGTTTTGGAACATAGTGTTATGTAGTGAGGATTGCACATAAAATTAATACCAGATTTAATACAATGTAAAATATTTGTGAGATCAGTATACACAGTTCTGGTCTTTCTTTTTTTGCGAATTCACTTCGTCTCTCCCAAAAAAATGGTAAAAACTTTACTTCTCCAACATGTTTCTAATTCTCAAATTAGCAAATTCAAGCACTTTTTCATATTAACATTACAGACATAATAGTTCTGGTACAGACATCTTTCTTTTCGATTCATTCAATATTTGGTAATTGTTAAAATCTCCTGGATAGCCTAGTTTCCTTTGCACCCTTCACCAATTGCAAACCAGACAAATTTCGGCTCACTGAAGGGTGAGAAAAATGTAAGATGCAAAGGCCTCCAAAATTTCAAACCAGACCATTGTCCACCAAATACACACCCTCTGTTAATCCTTATTTGTAATAGGAGCTGCCGGTGAATTTAAAAAAATACTGTAAAATCATTTTTTAAATTCACGCCAATTCTAAAGAATGACGATGCTAGCATACCGCTTATTCTCGCATATCATATACACCAATTATAATATTAAGGTAGTGAACATCAAGCGTGACTTTTTCTTTGGTATCTTAAATATGGAAATGTTAATTTTGATATGGGCTTTTTGTAGAATTACAAGTCTCTAAGCAGTCCAATGTTATACTTTGTTACGTCTCAAGAATTTTATACGAACAGTTTGTAAAGTCATTTTCAAAATTTTATGATTTAAATCACTACAGAATTTGTACACATCACTGTTTAATGCAATTCAATGACAAGTCAGTGGCATTACTGAAAATGAGTATTCTTAATATTTCTATGATCACATAGCAAGCACTGTTTATGCTAGAAAATATTAAAAAAATATTTTCCAATATATTATAGTTCCTGAAAATGATTTGGACCATTTCCCATTATATTCATAAGATTGCGACATGGGAATCTTTCTACTTCCCAAGGTGTTTTTCCACCCTGTAAAAATATCTATACAGATAAACAAGTTATCGGTAGCGTTACTCATAAATTACCCATGTCTTTTAATTTGCTGTTTGCAACAAAACCATGTTAAATCCAAAATAATTCTCCCTTCCACTCGTCATTTTCTCTTCAATCATAAACCTTTAACATGTTGTTTTTTAAAGAAAACATTTTCATGAAGAATCCTTGTGGAAAATCAAGATATGCTGCCTTTTACATAGATGTCATTCTGTATACTCCTTCATATAAGTTCGGTTTCAAAGGACCAATTCAGGAAAAAATGGAATGAAATTTTCAAAGAAGTTTGATTTTCCTCAAGAAAATCAAAAATAATCGTAATTATGAAATTTGATTCAAAATTATATTCTTAATCAGAAGTTTTTAGCGCAGTTTGGTAGCTATTTTTTAAGATAACATATAAAACTTGTTTTACATACATGTTAAGAAAATTTGAATTGTGCTTGCTTAGCATAAATCACAACTTGTAAGCCAGTTTCTACCATTTTCCTGAAGACTGGTACTTTTCGTTTTTTAAAAATTTCACAAAAATGAGATATTTTAAAAATTACATACATTAACAGATAAAACAAAGACACACAACTCACACTCAAATTCTTTCACTCTACTGCATTCAGATTTCAAATTTATCAATCAACATGCAGCAAATTTTCTTAACAGATCTGTGGACAAAAATTGGACACTACTTCATACACAGATATACAACAAAATCGTTAAGACAGTCTTTCTCCAACAAATTATACAACACTTCCAACCAATACCAGCTAGAAAAAATTTAGCCTTGTTAATTTAACCTTGTCAACTGCATAGAAATCTCCCATGCCAGTCAACCAAGGTGCCAGTCACTTTCATAGGGACTCCAATGGCGAGGGGTTGTAACCTATGTGCTTTGAATTAGTATAATAATCGCTGCTACTACTCTCAATGCTACTGTGATCATCTGTGTCACTCTGGCCACTGCCATAGCCCAGGATGTCGATTTCATCTGAAAATTAACAAACAAAAATAAGAAATACAGATACAAATTTGTATTTAATGCAAAATGAATTCAGATTACAGAATCTTTTGGCTTATGTATTTTGAAGTAACCAAATACATTTGTTTTCAATCAAGTACTTGTCACCATAAGTATGAATAAAATCAATTAAAAATTTAAACAATGAAAACAAAATCAAGCTTTCACATTCATTCCTCAAAACATTTGAAAAAAAACACCCAATTAGAGTGAGAAATTTAAAATTATTTCATTACAGCCACACCCCAGAGCAGCTTTGTCAAGTTGTCATATTTTCCAAATCAAAATATCTGCTTCAAAAAAACCTACTACTTACCGTAGCCTATATATTAAAATAGAATGTTGTGAAATTTAAGCTCAAATACAAAAGAAATGAAACCTACCAGACTCTGAAGTAGAAGAGGTAGTTGAATTTGTAGATGTGCTGCATTCACTGATACTTCTTTCCTGCCTTACTCGGTACTGGCCTTCCAACAACCCCTCTAAGCGTCGTTGCAAGAATCTCTTTTCCCGCTTTAATTGTTCTTTTGCGTGAAGTTTTTTCTTTTCACCATCTTCTAAGTTCTAAAATATAAATTTATTCAGGAATTTGAGAAGGCTGTGTGGTCGATATTCACACTAGTCAGATTCTACAAATCTAAGGGAGGTAACTCATGTTGTACTATGGCTTTTCTTCCTGGGCAACCTATATCATTTAATATAAACCAGTCTTTTTCTGTACGGTTAGCAGCAGCTACCAGGGTACCTTTTAAAATGGTCCTATTTTAGCAAAGCACAAGATATTTAGAATATCATAGGTTTGATTTTATATGCTGAAGCCCTTTGCAAAATATTGAATTCCAATTCATGGTTTGAAAGAGAAAAAAAATCTTTTGACATTTTTTTTTCTGGAATAAAGTTTAATATGCCACACCTTTAAACTTCTAACTTAAGCAAACAAGACATTATTTTTGTTAGTGTTTGTTACACAAGTGAAAAGAAACTTTTTATACATTATTATAGCCTTTGGGCCTCAATTAATATTAAATGATGTGACATTTTAAGCTCAAATGCATATCCACATTTTTGCACACAAAATACAAACTTAGCATGCCAGATAACTATGAAATTTAAAAAGCCAATACTATTTAACATCTAGAACATACCCTGTGTTATGAGTATTTTAATTAAGTGCATGGGCGTTGTCATCAAAACTAACAATTGTACTCACCCTAATAAAACCTTTTGTTTTTGTTAATAGTCCCAACGTAGTGTGACGCGATGAATCAGATCCCACTGGAACCACATCTTTTAATTTTTCAAGGCAGTAACGTAATTGTGCCCTCCTGTAATATATGAAATAAATTCCTTGTTCATTTTCATATATGGATAAAAAAAAATTATTTCTTTCTGTAAATAAATTCCTTGTTCATTTTCATATATGGATATTTTCTTTTTATTTCATTCTGTATTTATTTCCAGAACAATACAGAAACACTTAACTGACTGTATTTCCATGAATATAAACTAATATTTAAAAAAAAAAAAAAAAACCCAGGAAAGCAGACATTTAAATATTTCAGCAATACCATGGAAAAATACCTGATTTTTTATGTTCCATTAATAAGATGCAATAACAAGTTGCACCGTGAACATATTTTTTCGTTGCTGATTTTTTTTCTCCACATGTTTTTTCCTTTAGATATATAAATTAATTCCTGGTGCAGTTTGTTGTGCCTCAGTGCCTAAAAGCACTACTATCAAGCCTGATGGCCTTATTCACTGATAGCCCAGCTCCAATCTATTGCAAGTCTCAGTGAGACTGGCTGTGTGTTGAAAATAAACACATTCCTGGTAACACGCCCACTTGCTGATCGAGGTCAAGTTCAAAGGCTAAAGTTATTACACACACAGAGCACTGTGTTACATCTGTCATGTGACTATCGTAGATACACACTATGTATACACACTACCCGCCACATTACATGTACACAATCATGGCCGCCCCAGTCCCTCGCATTATATAGGACATACGAGAGGATCAACCATTAATAGAAGTCATTATCAAATAAATCACTTTAGCCACAGAGTATGCGAGTGTCCCGTTAAGAATCGATCATCCGCTTTTGTTGTGATTGGGTTCTCCTGCAGAACCTGTTATACGGTGCTGTTTCATCCTGTACATTCACGTAAAAAATCGATACACTCCGCTATTGGTAGTGAATTTATAACAGGATATTTTATCCAACAGAAAAATAATTCCAAACTATCCAGATTTTCAAATGAACTTACCTATTTTTCTCTAACTCGTTGTGGGTAGATCTGAAAGGAAACAAAATTGAAATTAAACTGGGCACATACCAATGATTTCCAAGCAATGTTTGTTTACAAAATATTTACACGACTAAAATCACCAAGAGTCAAGACCTTTTCACATTTATTAATAAATAACGTTTTCCGAGTTTTCATTGTAAAATAAGAAACAAACATGATTCAAATATCTTTGATCGAAATCCGGTATATTTTAACCGGCCTATTTTAACTAATACAAAGGTATCCAAGAGTCGACACGTCTTTTGGCATACGTTCAGAAAGTCATACCATGCCGTTTCCACGTGCACATTTATATACTATACACAAATCAACCAAGCAAGAAATGAACATCAAAAATACATCAGATTTCTTTATAAGGACAACTAAGGATCTAAACATACTTCCCAACCATTTCCCTAAAAAAAAACACGAATGTTTTTACCCGCCAAGACTAAACAATGCAGGTCTTTACGGTTTGGAACTTAAGTCAAAAATTTAACAAAATTAACTGCAAATGCAATAACATAGCATTTTAAAACAAGCAGATTTTCTAATCATCGAGCTTTTCAAATTAATTTTCAAAAATATAAACATCCCCCATCTCAGGCATCTGCATGATCTGGATACGAGACATGACAGTGCGAAGGGGTGGTTACCAACGCTGCAGAAAATAATAAGACGGAACAATGCATCCTTTCCAAAACCCACTCAACTCAATCTAAAACATGTTTTTGTAACGAAATGTTTCATGCACTTAATGCAAACAGCAAGATTAGATGCAAAATCCTGAAGGATCCTTCCTTTGTTTTGTTTCTACAAAGATTCTTTCAAAATGGCGGACATTTTTTTCTGGTCAACTAACCCGCCGCGGCAGAGCCGAGAAAATTTTCTGGTGGCACTAATCAGAAAGCGATCGACACAAAATAATGGACAAAAATTCTAAAGAAATAATCATTTTATCAGAATCCGCAAAAATAATTTACAGATGTTGTAAAATGAAGGAATATTCAATGAACAAAAAACATCAACAAACACTGTTGATCAGCTGATTCCAATATGGCCGACATCACAGAGCGACACGTGAAAACAAAATAATCAACAGAACAGCATAAAACGTACCTATTTCCCTGAGATTTCTTGGGTTTGGACTTTTTCTTGTTCAAATATTCAGGCATCGGAGCCGTAGATGCGTAGCCATGTTCAGCTTCTGCAAATCAAAGGAGAAAGTTGATCATGTGTGCGGGTTTCTCAGCTGTCAAACTCATGCCGTTGCAACGTGGCATAGGAAACGATACAGAAAAAAATCTGTTTAAAATCAAAATTACCTCTTTCCCTCCTATCTAGGAACTCAGCAGCCTGAATAAGCTGAGATATGTTAAATGCCATATTAACAGAATAACTAAATATTTGAATTAAAATAAAATCTAAGGTGGGAGCTGCCAACCTGCACCCCGGCTGTCAAAATTTGTTTTGCCTCACGCACGTTGAGGCAAGCGGGACAATGTTTGTTTACCTTGCGTTTGAATCATCGGGTAAACCACGGTGATTTCATTGGTCGATTCGATTAGTGACCCAGTCTTTCGACTAATCAAATCGTCGTTTACAAATGGCTGTTCGGGACGATCGTATGCCAATCAAACTCTGTCAACGCCCATATGTCGAGTTGTAAACAGCGTACGTGTGTGACACATAGCTCTTCTCGCTAACAACTGAGCTTGCGAAAAATTGGTTTTCAGAAATCATGGTATAACATAGAAAATCTCTAATAAGTCATAAAATTCAATAAAATTTTATAGCAAAAGAAAAGAAAAAAGAGAGATGACGAAAGCATTTCCCACATAAGGCCACTGTTGGAATTACTTCTTTGCCCTACGTACACATAGATTTTCCTTTACGTTCACAATTATAAATTATAAGTTTGAGCAGGGACGTATTATACGTCTCTGGTTTGAGAGAGACATCTTGAAATTAGTTTGTAGCAATTTATTTGTAATTCCAAGTGTTATATAGTTAATTAACGTCTATCATTAATTTTCAATAAATTTATATGCAAATATAGAAATCACTTCTTCATTAAGTAAAATATTGGATGTCACGTAAATTAATCAATCTAAAATAAATTCTTGGTCGTTTGAATTGTACCGACAATAGCAATGATTAGAAGTGGAATCCAAATTTAAAAACATGTAAAAATACCTGAGACATTTTTTAACGCCGGACTCTGGTAAAGATCGAGTTTAAAAACTGTTTCTTTATCTGACACATTTATGACTGTGTTCTAGTATCCAAAGACGTATATGTATCCCATAGAAAGGGAGGTTATAATTTGCACGGTTGCCAAATCCCGGAGATAGCCATCTGATTACGACCATATATTTAGTAATTGGTTTAATAAATGCAGTGACCGGTCGGACATACAAGATGACCCCTAGCTATACTGCCACCAATAAACAATGTTACAACGACATTTAGCAAGACTGAATATTTACTGAATTCTATAGCACACTTTGATTACCTAGTAATTTGATGACAATATGAATGATACTGGTTGCAGTCCTGTTTTCAGTTCTAATGATTGACATCTGCGTAAGTCTCCGAATACTCATCACATTTTAATTGATTGTGATATAAGGATGATTTGAGTTTTAAACTCATCTTTCTAAGGGGTTAATTCCCATTATAAACTTGTTATATGTTTATTTCGATCCTTATGCGGAACTACCGATTGGGAACACAAATGGGGACAGAAAAGTCCTTTCTCCAGGTTTATTAAATACTTTTGGCGCATTTGATCAATGAACCGGATTTCATTATCTAGTGACACAAAATTCAGGAATATTAAATTAATTACATTCATTCAGATGAATATATTAGTCAATATAAGACTCTTGTAAAATCATATTTATCAAAATTTGGAAATAAGTCGTAGAGCCTAAAATGACTAAGATGTATAATTTCCAGTTTTGATGTTGTCTCCTATTTTATATCTCGGACAGTATAACATTTTCTTTTAAGTTTCTTTATGAATTGTTATTGAAAGTATGTATAGACAGTATTAACTACAATATTAACGTCGATTTATTTTATAGGGAAATACACTTTTTATCAATTATATTATTAGGAGGCACAGTAGTCTAGTGGTAGGATGCCGGGCTCGTGACCGAAGGGTTACGGGTTCGAGTCACGTCACGGCACTGTGTGAGCATTATACTTTAATCCGCTTGTTCCAGTCTACTTAGCTGTAAATGAGTACGTGGTTGGGCAGTGCTAGAATTGTAGAATGCTAGCTGTGATCACCGAAATGGCAGCACCGGCTGTATGTTGGCTAGTTGTAAAGGCTTTATAACTTAAGATAATAATTTGTGAACCGCTTTGAGACGACATACGAACTAGGTTGTGATAAAGCGGTATATAAGAACCTCGAATTATTATTATAAAACAATTATAAGTTCAAATGCCCCACCATAATCGACAACTCATGAAGGTCATTCCAACCTATGACAAACTATACATCTACCTTGAACTTATATACATCTATATATAGCTACAGACTATGGCAGATCAATTCTGGATTCTCTAATCTCCCATAGAAAGGGGATAAATGGAGGAAAAGGCCAGAATCTGTGAGGAACCCTTCATTAGTTGCCTGCCCTGTCATATTGTAGTACCATACGACAGCCTAGGTCTGTTCGCTGATTCAGCAAACGGCCAGAGGGGCAATCTTTCTTTGAAGAATCTACATTAGAGTAATGCATGAAATCACCTGGAAATGTATCATTAATTGCAATGAGTTTAATTTACAAGATGGTTTACAGAGATAAAGTAGAATCTGTATTGTGCCTCGTGTATTTCATCAGATGTATTTTTAGACGTTCTAAAATACACCTTGCGTATGTATACATATTTACCTACATCTTTTATACACGGACTAGTCTTTATATAATTATAAATATTCGTATTTTAAGCCAATTCAGTAAAAGGACGTCACGGAGTAATGGGCCCGACTGAAGTGTGGGATGGGAATGGGGATGGGGTGGGCGTGTGGGTTCCTTCTGAGCAACCGAATTCCTTTGTATACCACCTAACTCGCACCATCCAACATCTAAAAATTCCTTTTTTTCATTTGACTCCGAGCTTTTCAGCTATCAGTATACGCATAACAAATAAATGCAGAGGCAGATACTGCACTAATGCAGTGGAGAATGGACAGAATAAAGTTACTGAAAGTAAAACATTTACACCCGGTATGTGTAGCGCATGTAATTTAGGGACTCCGACGATAATTACCTTGTCATATGTCGTATTTTGAGGATTTTCATTTAAAGGCGGTATATCAGAATATGTTTCCGTTACCTAAAATGTGGGAAATTACCTTAAAAATAAAAATAAAAATATTATTTTCATCGAGTACCGACCAGAGGATTACATATAGAACAATACACAATGCAGGTTTCAGTGAACTGCCTAGTATGTTTTATCAGATGTATTTTCAGACGTTATAAAATACACCTCTTACGTAGGTATGTTCATATTTCAGCCATTTGGTGGCATATACATTGAACCTTACAAACCCATTTAGGTTATGATATAGTGTCATAGGCCATCCTTATGCGCCGCTACACCGGTTTTTTTCTTTCTTCCATAAACGCCTGACTTTAATGAAGAATTGTACATCTTCATCACTTACTCATTTCACAATTTAGTACTTTTCACTACAGCATAATTATATATTTGAAAATTCTCATATTTTTATTCCCGGTTTTAAGAGCGAAATTTACGATATCATAGCTCATTTTCCATTTCCGGTGTATTGACAGATCTGATAGCATTGATCTCTTACGAGTACTTTGGTTGACTTTTACCGCATAAAATGTTTTTTACTTTCGGTACAAAACGTGGTACATTGTTCTTTACGGCTTAGCAGCTGGCAAGTTCACGTGTAACTAAACCAAATTCATTTCGTTGCCTAGAAAGACACAACCATCTTCGAGTAATTAGCCAAAGTTTGACAGGAAGGACGGAGGCGTGATCCCAAGGTTGTCTCCCTTACTTATATGCCCAATACACAGATGAAAGAGGGACATCGGCGTATGTGTTTTTATCTAATAATACTATCTAGACTATTCTTCCATTGTTGACCCCCAGACGACCAAAGGGCTTCATGATAATGGACTGATAATGTCCTTGTGTCATGTTTGATAACAGGTTGTGGGATAAAGGCGTTCAGCACGAAACTAGTGGTGTATATAAAACAACACATTGTTTACTGACGCTACAGCTCGCCTTCCCGTTGCAAAATTGCACATAATTTGTATTTCGTTTATTACCTAATATTTACTTAGATACGTTATCCGAATTTTATTTGATAAGGAGTACAAAATTAATAGGCCAAGACAATTTGTATTGTTTGGTATGTCAATTTATAAGAACATACATGTCCCCTACATACTCGACCTCTTACAATGATATTGATCTTGGGTTGAGGACCGGGAGCGTGGGATGCAGCAGTATGTAGTAGCAATGCATCTGTCATCAAAATAGTCATATGAAGTAAGTGTCCGGCCAGACACGAACTGCATGACAGCAGTAATCTTGGCTCGCTAATATGACCTTGGCCTTTTTCGAGGGTCATGGGAAGAGGCACAAGGCATGCGCACACCGTCTAGTAGTAGCGGTGGTAAGTAGTAGTAACGCTGTGCACGAAATTGCATCCAGATACCTAAGCTGACATAAGCCAAGTTGGATAATAAAAACAGACAGCTGACCTTTGACATTCGTTATTGTAACCTTGGCCTTTGGTTAGAGGTCGTAACAGGGTTACGCTATACCATAGTATTGGTCTATTAAAGAAGCATAGGTGTACATGTAGTTACATACAAATATGTTTATTCACCCAGAAAGTATGATCCGAACACGAATTGGACAGACGGACATCTACCAATGGATGAACCCACAAATAACCCACATGGTTATACTCTGTCAATAAACAAGCGATGGTACTGGTTTATCAACCACTGCTCTGAACCAAGATCAGTATCGTGACCAAGTGTTACATCTGACAAGAATCTGTCGTCATTCGCGGCCTTCAGAAGCACATGTACTGCAACAAAACTGTGCTCGACATGACAAGATAAGAGCGTGGCATTGATTACAAGCTGTCTTCGATTAGGGACCGATTGATGTAAACAGCGGTAAGTGTTTACCGGAATACACCAAGGCATTTGGTGAGAGGTGAAAGCCGAGCGCACTTTTCGAAGTTCTAAAACAAGACGTTGCACCACAAAACTGAATTATTGAGTTGGCAGACTTCATGCCCAGAACGAGTCTCCGTGTAGTCGAACGACTATTAAGTCATTGGACGGGAGGGCTGATATGTCTGTTACTTCCACCACTTCATAAAAAAATACAAATAATTATTTTAAAGAAAAAGCGCGAAAATAGATATTTGGGAAGATTGAGGGGGTTACTGTAACTATAACTATAACGTATATATGTAATGTCA